TTTCCTTGTATCCTGTTCTGTTCATTCTCCCTTGCTCCCGAAGGGGTGAGACCAGTGGAGTATCTTAGCTGGCTGCTCACAGGCTTTTAAGACTTGTGGGGTTTTTTTTGTTTGTTTGTTTTCATTTTTGTATCTGGACCGGCAGAAAGAAGTCCCTGGCTTGATTCCTGTGTCATTCTTCATAATCCTGATGGATTGGAAACATTTTCAGAATGTTTTATGTAAACATTTCTTTACCCTAAGTCCTTGACGCAAGGGCAAATATTACCACCGGTGGGAAGGAAGGGAAAAGAAAAGAAGCCTTTAGAAAGGAAAAGAAGTGAGTGTTTAGAAAAAACAGAAGAGAAGAAGGCGAGAGAGGCAGGAAGAGGCAGTGACAAAGGAAGAGAATAGGACAAGAAGAAGGCCCACAAGATAGGAGATGGAAGCATTGTAGAGAAACTTAAGCCTGCATAGAACCAAGCCACTGCAAAGACCACGGGCTATGTGGTCAAACAGACCTGTGTCCAAAGCCTGGATTCTCTGCTTATTAGTTCTGGGACCTTGGACCCTGCCTTAACCTCTCAGTGCTTCGGTTTTCAGATGAAGATAATAACAATAGTTAAACTTACCGATGCTCGCTATGTGTCAGGCACTGTTCTATTCATTTAAATTCTCACAGCAGCTCCATGTGATGTATGGCATTATTATCCTCATTCGACATTGAGAAAAGCGGCTAATGTGTGCTCAAGATCACGGTTCAGGATTTGCCCGTAGATGGTCTGGCTCTGGAATTCACCCTTTAACCACTGCTGGCCTTATAGCTACGTCCCAGGGTGTGAGGAGGCCGTGAGACAGCACTGGTGAATGGGCCCACGCAGGACCGGCCCACAGTATGTGCTCAGTATTTGTCCCCTTTTCCTTTTCTCCTCTACGCGACTGCTTGTCTTCCGTTACCCAAATGAGGACTTAATTTTCTGGAAATTTCCATCAGGTGAAATGGGCTTTGCTATACCAGAAGAAATCCCAACGCAGCCTCACCTCAAACACACATTATGTTTCACTGTTTCAGAAGTTAGATTGATGCCGTCGAAGCCTCCTTTTAGTGGTTGTTTCTGTTGAGTCTATCCCTGGCTGTGAATCAAAACAAATATAAGTAACTTATAAAAAAACGGTTGATGCGCTCTGTTTAAAAGAAAAAAAAGAAGAGAAGAAAGGAATGTTGGTCTGACAAATCTGCTTGTTATTATCCTGAACACCACAGTAAGACCTAGAGGCCGTACAGTGTGGGATGAGATAAGCTTACCTCTGAATCTTTGTCGTCACACATTTTGATTGTTGTTTGCTGTTGGTTTTGCTTTTGTTTGGATTTTCTTGATTATTTTTGTAAGTTAACATTTCTACCATGCCCAAATCTTGTGCCTCACCCTCTTCTCTCAAGTATTTTGAGGAACTTTAAATTAAAAAATGGCATTTTAAAATACACAATAAAAGATAAATGATCATATCAAAAAAAAAAAAAAAAAACAGTTGCTGTCGAGTGGATTCTGACTCATGGCTACCCCATGTGTGACACAGTAGAACTTTGTTTCCTAAGGTTTTCAGTGGCTGATTTTTTGGAAGTAGATCTCCAGACCTTTCTTCAGAAGTACCTCTGTGCGGACTTGAACCAGCAACCTTAGTAGTAGCCAAGAGTGTAACTGTTTGCACCACCCAGAGATTCCTAAATAACTGATAGTAGAGGAAAACTACTTCACACGCACACACACACACACACACACACTCACAGTCTTACACATACACACTCACACACAAAACCAAAAACCCGTTGCCATCAAGTTGATTCTGACTCATAGCGACCTTATCGGACAGAGTAGAGCGGCCCCATAGGGTTTCTAAGGAGCAGCTGGTAGATTCAAACTGCCAACCTTTTGGTTAGCTGCGGAGCTCCTAACCACTGCACCACCAGTTGATTATTCAATCTCTTTTTAAGTATGTTTGTTTGCCTTTCTCAAGCTAAGTTAGGTCATGTTGGACCATTGTCTCAGTTTGGTGGTTATTTCTTCCATCAGTTCAGCCTGGGTTTCCGCATTAAGTAGATAATAGTCCTGATTTGTTCACTTGTTCATCATTTAACAAACAATTATTGAAAGCCTAATACATTCCAAGTGCTGTGCTAATAAGTATGTGGAATATTAAGACAAATGAGATAGGTCATGCCTTCAAATAGCTCATTGCCTAATGATTATGAAACTAAATACTTATATACAACGTGATAGGTTCAGGAATGGAGATGAACATAAGGTTTGCCATTTGTATTATACTTCATATAAAAGGAGGTTTTGTTTAACATACAGAAGTCTAATTTTTTTTCAAGATCAAAAAACATGTTTCTTTATGATTTATGTCTGTACTTTTCTGTTGAGAATTCTTTCTCCAGTCCAATAAAATAGAAATAATCATACATACATATTTTCTTTGAGTTATTTTATTAACACGTTACATTTTTAAAATTTTCTTTTTAAAGTAACCTTGTTTTTTCTGACTTTTATGGCCAAAGGTATATATGTCCATTCTGTTACATCCTTCCATTGTTTTTTTTTTAAAAAAAGGAAAATACTGGAGTACACAGAAAACTAAATTTGCCCTATACCTCTGCTTTCCTAGAATTATTTACTAGATAATCAATTGATTTTTAAAGGTTTTACTTGTGTAGATATATATAAAAAAGATGTTTTTTTCCCCTTCAAAACAGAGCCTACTGGGATGTTAGATGTCTGGTACATGAAACAGCACATCAACTACAATAAACAACAGATTTCTCTTTTCTGGAAGGTACGTTTTCAGTGTCAATTTAAAATTCAAAGAAATTATATATTCAAATAAATGATGAGTTTCAAGGCAGGAAAGACCTTCCACTTCCATTGTGGCTTTGAAATGAGACTTCAGTGACTTGGTTGAAGCTCTTCTCAGACATATCCTCATGATACATGGTTCAATGTCATTTGCCTTTGACAGATAAGGATGAGCGCTCTGACCGAGTTCCCTCATCTGCACAATCACATCCTTTCCTCACCCCACTCTCAGTCAATCAAGGTCCGTTTCCATCCCCCAGGCATTCCCACCCTCTGACCCCAACTACACCATCTCTTCAGACTCTTCTCATTTCTGACTCTCTGCTCACTCCCATCTCTCCTACACACAATATACCCAGCAGTGACCATGCCATCTTACTTATTCACTGGTTGGGAAATAAACAACGGGGAAGCTATGGATGTGGATATTTAGAAATATATTTTCCATAGTCATTGAAAAGGGAGAGGATGGAAAGGAAGCTGTCTCACCTCTGGAATACTGATAAAAAACCAGTTGCAGTCCCGTCATCTTGGCTTATGGTGACCCCATGTGTGTATGTCAGAACAGAACTGTGCTCCATAGGGTTTTCAGTGACTGATTTTTCAGAAGTAGATTGCCAGGCCTTTCTTTTGAGGCACCTCTGGGTGGATTTGAATTACCAGCCTTTTGGTTAACAGCTGACCACATTAACCATTTGCACCACTCAGGGACTTTGAAATACTAGTAGTGACAGAAAACAATAGGTACAGAAAGCAATCTTATCTCAGGAATAGTAATAAAACAGTAGCAAATTGAACAATCTTCCAGAAAACAATGAAGTCTAACATTATTACAGAATGCAAAAGTTTCACAAAGTACTGAAAGCTGGCATTGTCATTTCATTTAATCCTCATAAAAGCCCTGTGAGGTAGGTACTAGTATCCCCACGTAGATTTAAAAGAAAAAAAAAATTGGGGGTTACACAGAGCGAATACTTGCCCTAAGTCACCCAGCGCTAAGTGGTACTGAAACCTCACCCAGAACTCTTTCAGCCACACCGTGACTCATCCTTGTTGAAAGAAAATACTATTTGAATGGAGCCACTGATTGACAGGCTCGTAAGAAGAGATTTTGGGGTGAGCTGTACTCTTTTTTATTTCCCCACCCCCATATCGCTTTCATTACACTTCTTCCAGTTAAGGTTAAATAAATAGTTTTGAAATTATGAATTTGATGAGCATCAAATCACAAGAGTCAGAGTAATGACTGTAAAGTCCTCTGATGGGGTTAACATGATGGGTTTTGGTAATTGCAATCTTCTTTGGTTTTAAGGCATGAGTGCTTGCTCCCTTTTTCTCTCTTTCTCACACACACATGCAAAATGTCTGCTATAAAAGGAGACCTACTATAAATAGCTCGGTGAGTCATAATCCAGCTCTTCACTTTGAAACTAAAACTGCAGCTTAAAATTTATTTTAAAATAAAGCCACTTTTAACGGGAAGACAGTTTTCACAGCAAGGCATTTAGAACAGCCATAATTTGTGAATATTATAGAAGAACCCAGCTCATTCTTGGCTCTTGGTTGTCATTTTCTCAAGTTAGCAACTGGTTAAAACCAAAATTCCTCTCCCATAAAAATTCTGCCCCCCCCAAAAAAGTCCCCAACAGTGATCTGAAAGATAAGCTGTTTTAGGCTTATTCACTCTCTCTACTCAAGGATTTCTCTCAGGCGAATGAGAGTGATGCTACCAGTATCTGCATAGCTGACTAGACCATGTGGGGATCAGTCAATGAGAGGACACAAATACAGAAAATCACTAGGGCCACCAAGGTAAAATTAAATGGCTAATACATCATGAATTTTTATTCTAATAATGAAAGCCCAGTTCCATGCCTGATGGTGCTTCTCACTGTAACAGAGTTTATAAAAGGCATGAGCACTCTGAAACCAGTACCAGCGTGAAGTCAAAGTAAATATTTGTTAGCCACAGGTAATACTTAGCAAACATGCATATGCAAATTCTTCTCTCCAGCTCATTTTGATCTTGTTCTTATCCTTACAACACTGAAGTTCTAAAATGAGATCGCAGAATTAGAAAGGATTTCAATGTTCTTCTGGCATCCTGGGTGGCACAATCGATTAAGCACTCAACTACTAACTGATAGGTTGGCAGTTCAAACCCTCCCAGAGGTACTTTGCAAGAAAGGCCTTACAATATGCTTCTAAAATGTCACAGCCACAAAAAGGCTGTGGAGCATAGTTCTACTCTGCAACACATTGGGCCGCCATGAGTCGGAATCAACCCAGTGGCCAGCTGGTTTGGTTTTGGTTCGGTTTAATGTTCTTCTAATCCACCCTTGATCCAATCTGCAACTGATCATGGGGATGGCACCAAACCGGGCAGCATTTCGTTCAGTTGTGCTTTGGGTCACCATGAGAATTACAACAACAGCCCACCCTTCCTCCCATTGTAGACATCACTCCTGCTCCAGCCAGGACAGACACATGTCTCTGATGGGACTTTCTGGGACAGGGAGAGCCTACTTTGTAGATGGCCCATCCTGTGGTTGGATGTCTCTTATCATTAGAAAATCTTTCCTTTTGTGGAGCCAGAATTGTGGTAGCCCAAGAAGGATGTTTTGGTCTGAATATATATCTACATATAGATATACATATAGATAGATATAAGTATATGTATATATATATACACACACACACACACACACATTCACATATATATATATATATATATTTGGTCCATATGAGAAACCAAAAACATAAATGTTAGAAGCTTCTACAATTTGGTGCCAGATAATAGTCGTGACAGGGCAACTTGAAAACCTTCAGTGGTTCTCTATCCAACCAGGCTTCTTAAGAAAAGGCCCAGTCCTAAGCTTTGCAGGGCAATTACAGGATTAAGTCCTGTTCTGTCAAATCTGGGCTTTTTCAGTGGCCCCAAACAGGCTACTCACCAGGGAGTGGGAATAAAAACACTGGCCAGAGTTAATGAGATGAGCAGTCCTGCTTTGGGCCACAGAATCACAGATGGCCAGAGTGAAAGGGGCGGTAAGTGACATCTAGTTCCACCCCTCATTTTACAAACATGGAAACTCAGGTCTAGAGGGTGAAGTGATTTCCGATGAGGGAACTTCAGGTGATATGGTGTTTGCTCATGGGGCCTTTCCTTGGCTGAAATCACTGCCACCTGTGTTTTGAACCTCACCTGTCCCACTCCTTGAATTGGAGATTCCTGATGTCACTCTCCGGCATGCTTTGGGGACTCGAAGGGGTGGTGCAGTGGCACAAGGAACTCATCGAAATGTCAGACGAGACGTTTGGATCAGGTGCTTTGTGGTGGAGCCCAAATGACATCTTACTAGGGAAAGGAAGCAAAGACGTGCGTGTGGTGGTTTTCCATTGATTTTTTTTTTTTCCTTTGAGCAATAAGGGGAAACCAGGAGAGAGGGACACCCAGCCACTGCAGAGAAACTTCAGGCCTTGGCACCACAGGAAGCCCCAAGTACAGCCCAATTAGCCTGTGAAGAAAGTGAGAGCACACTTCTCTTGCATCCCAGGTGCCCTTTCACTGTTATAGGATGTTTACAGTAGAGGAGAACTTGATGATGAATGGGTGGTGCAGCTTCTGTGTGTGTGGGTGTGATAGATGTCAGTGTGAGTGTGTGTGAGTGTGTGTGAGAGTTGTGTGTGTGTAAGGGGTGTGAGTATGTGTGAGTGTGTATGTGTGTGAGTAATATGTGTGAGAGTTGTGTATGTGTGTGTGAGTGTGGGGTGTGTATGTATGTGAATGATTATGTGTGTGTGAGAGGTATATGTGGATGAATGTGAGGCGTGTATGTATATGAGTATGTGTGTGTGTGTGAGGTGTATGTGTGAGTATGTACGCGGGTGTACATTGTGTGAGTGTGAGTGCATGTATGTATGTGAGTATGCATGTGTATGAGTCAATGCCTATAAGTATGAGTGTGAGTATGTGTGAATGTGTGTGTGTGTGTTGAGACCGAAGGAGCCCTTGGCTTTGTTGCCGTGCTTCCTGTAGTTACTCATTTTCCCACACCTTGGTTCCTACTCTAAAAGCTCCATTTCCTCAAAAATATCCTGTACTATTTTTTATCATAGCTATTTTTAAGAGGAAAAAAAAAAACAACACATTGTGTGTTGAAGCCAAAACATACAACTTAATCTATGAAACAAAATAAAAACACCCAGGCGCTAAAACAATAAATACAATAACACAAAGCAACTCTTCTCCAAGTGGAATATGTCGCTTTATCACAGACAGCCCCAGTGCTGTGTTAGACCCCTTCCCGGCTGGGCGCTTTTAACAATTCCCTTCCTCTAATCCCCTCTGCCGTCTACTTCAGTGCAAAACGTCATGTCGTTTCCCTTGCCTTGATTAAGCAATTCAATCCATGATTCAGCTTTTCTGCTGGTTGATACAGTGTGTATTCTTTAAGAAGAAAATTACCCTGAATACATGAGTAACGTGAAAAAGATAAGACAGCTGGTCAGTGTCACACTAAACTTTCCAGTTTCCTCTGTCGGTTTCTTCCGAGTCCTCTCACTGGTTTGATCGTGGCAAATCACAAACAAACTTCCTGAAATTATGGCTGAGGCCATGGGGCTGGAAGAGAAATGACCTATGTACAAATCAAGCTGAATTCACTCATTTGCGTATTTATTCATTCATTCTTCCAAGCAAATATTTCTAAGCACCTCTTTAGTGCTAGACAGAGCCCTGGTGGCCTAGTGATTAAGAGCTTGGCTGCTAACCAAAAGGTCGGCAGTTCAAATCCACCAGCCGCTCCTTGGAAACCCTATGAGGCAGTTCTACTCTGTGCTGTAGGGTTGCTATGAGTTGGAATCGACTCGAGGGTAAGGGATTTGGTTAGTGCTAGACACTGTGCTACGAGCCAGGGACATGGATGTGAACAAGACAAATCCTGCCTTCCTGTCAGGGAGCTCACAGTCCAGCGAGAGGACAGGAAAAAGAGCAGGATGATGAGGGTGCTCAGGGCATTGAGGATGAGTTCAGAGATCCATGGGAATGAAGGTCAGGATGGCCCAGCAGAGGGGGCGCTGGGCGATGAGTCTGAGAAGGACCTCTTGCTAGGCAATACTGGGCTGACCCCAAAAGAATGGGTTGGCCAGGACAAAGGCTGGGGACAGCGTTTAGCAGGAGGCCCTTGCTGTCCCACAGAAATATAACACAAGCCACAAATGTGAACCACATGCATAATTTTAAATTTTCTTGTAGCCACATTTAAAAAAGTAAAAAGAAACAGGCAAAATTCATTTTAATCATATATTTTACTGACCCCAATATATCTAGAATGTTACCCCTTCAATACCTAATCAATATTTAAAAATTATTAGTGAGACATTTCGCATTCTTTTTTTCCTACTAAGAAAAACCATAGTGTGTTTTACACTCAGAGCACATCTCAGTTCGGACTAGCTGCATTTTAAGGGCTCAGTAGCCTCTTCCGCAAAGTGGCTCCCATATTGGACCACACAGCTCGAATGCCTAGACAAGCAGTAAAGAAGAGAATTAAGAAAACTCTTGGTTCCAAAAGAAGGAGTAAAAGATTTGGTGCTTTTTGTTAATTTATTGGAGTCTCCGGATGGTGTAAACAGTTAAGATGCTCAGCTACTAACGGAAAGGTTGGTGGTTCAAATCTACCCAGAGACAACTCAGAAGAAAGGCCTGGTAATCTACTTCCAGAAAAATCAGCCATTGAAAACCCTACGGAGCACAGTTCTACTCTGACACACATGGGGTCACCATGAGTCAGAATCGACTCGACGGCAACTGGTTTACTGATTTATTCATTTATTAAATGAGATAACTCATTTTGATAAATAGCTTTCCTCAAACCACAGAAGGTGAAAGAAAAAATAACAAGTCCCCTCCACCAAGCTTCCCCTGGAGAGAACCCAGCACAGCCACAGAGACCTGCTGCATTTGGGGGCAGCTCATTCAGCCCCTTCACTTTTTCTTCCTGCATTTCTCTTTTTCATACGGGGAGTATTTCAAACTATATCCCATGGTGCTGTTGAAGGGATGGATTCTTTGGCCTTCTCATATGAAAGAAGTTCAGTAAAAGTAAAGTATTGTTTGTAACCTGATTTATATTAATGTGGGAAAAAGTAAATTCCCAGGGAGGATTGGCTGCTAGGAGCCTGAGGCTCTTATATTATTACAGGAGGTATCCAATTTGGAGAAAATACTGAAATTTTCAAAGATTGCATTTTGCTTGGGTCCACAATCAATGCCTATGGAAGCAGCAGTCAAGAAATCAAACAACGTATTGCATTAGGCAAATCTGCAGCAAAAAACCTCCTTAAAAAAACAAAGCTGTCACTTTGAGGACTAAGGTGCGCCTCACTCAAGCCATGATGTTTTCAATTGCTTCATATGCATGTGAAAGCTGGACAATGAATAAGGAAGACTGAAAAAGAATCGATGCCTTTGAATTATGGTGTTGGCAAAGAATATTGAATATACCGTGGATTGCCAAAAGAACAAACAAATCTGTCTTGGAAGAAGTACAACCAGAATGCTCCTTGGAAGCAAGGATGGCAACTTCATCTTACATACTTTGGACATGTTGTCAGAAGGGACCAGTCCCTGGAGAAGGACATCATGCTTGGTAAAGTAGAGGGTCAGCGAAAGATAAGAAGACTGTCAACCAGATGGATTGACATAGTGGCTACAACAATGGGCTCAAGCATAACAACAATTGTGAGGATGGCACAGGACTGGGCAGTGTTTCATTCTGTTGTACACACGGTCGCTATGAGTCAGAACTGACTCAACAGCACTTAACAACAACAACAACACCTCAGAATCAATATTTTAATACAAAAGCAGTAGGGGGAAAGTTTCTGTTGTTTTGTTGCAATGGTCACCTCTATCTCCTGCTTTCCCAACTTTTACCCCATCACTGGCTGGCACAGAATTTCTGAAGATATTTTAAAGAAGAGTGGGTCACTCTCCCTTGCTTGCTAGTCACATATGTATGTCAGCTGAAATATAGAGGATTTTCAGTTAGCTAACATAGAACATGGAGACCCTGGTGGCATAGTAGTTAAGTGCTATGGCTGCTAACCAAAAGGTTGGCATTTTGAATCCACCAGGTGCTCCTTGGAAACTCTCTGGGGGCAGTTCTACTCTGT